CACTCGTGCAGTCAACAGCTAAAACTTAGACAGCGTGCGAGGAAAATATTAAGCTGTGGATTTAAAATCCCACATATATATATATATATATAAAATTATGCATGATAGAAAAGTTGGCATATCTGTCTATCTATTTATTTATTAAAATTAGAAAAGTAGCATGCTTACAAGATTCCTAGTTAATTTCTTTTTTTAATCGAGATTTTTAAAAATAAATTTTTCTGCGTGCTTGCATGATTTCCCTGAACTAGCTGGCTGGAATTGCAAAAAAAATTATTAATTAGGTGAACACTATGTATGATTGCCTAATTATTGTGTTTCTAAGAACATTTTTTAATTATAATTGAATTTGAAGTCATGAGATAATTTAGTCTCTCACCTTTTCATTGTTTCAATCAAAATTATGATTATATAGACAATACTCTTTGAATATGTAACTATGCATAGTTATAAACTTTAATTTTTAAATATATTTATATATTTCTTTATTAATATCAAGAAAATAATGTAGATTTCCTGAATTTGAAGGTTATTATACCTTTAAGTCAAGATTTCTCAAAACTATAATTTTCCTATTCGATTTTTCTAAAACCGTTGATCAGAATTTCAATACATTTTAGCATATTTTATGAACCCAAAATGAATATAAAATGGCTAACTATTAAGCTATTATACTTCTGGCTTAAAAAGTTTAGAAATTATTGTAAATCTTATGGTAAAAAACAAATCAATTTTAGGGTCTCAATAATATATATATAATTCATTGATCCACTTTAAAAATTATACCTGGGTTTCCATGAGTCAAAAAATATAAAAATACATTTAGTAACAGACTCAAAGAAAATGACTTGGAATGCTTGGAAAACTAATGGAAAGTGAATTCCATTTCTAATGGAAAGTGAATTGATTTTAGCTGCCAGTATTAAAAATTATACAATGGAGCACCTTTTTCGATTGAAGAAAACTACAAAAGAATATTTCTGAGAAGAAAACACTAACTGTGACTGGATTAAAAAATCCATTCAGTACTATGAATGCATCAGAAGTTTTGCCAATGAAGGAAAGGGAACAACTTACCAATATATCAACAAATTCTTCGTTAAAATCTAAATTTAAGCAAGAGTAGCTGCTAAATTTTTTGTTGTAGACTCATGCAGATTCCCTAGAAGTTTCTTGTGCAGCTGTAAACATTTTAATGCAATTCAGAACAATGTATTTAAGGGAACAATTTTTTTTCAATGTATGTGACATCTGAAACAAATTAAATGCAGACTATGAAATGTGACTGCAGATAACATCTGTAGAAGTAGACTTTGACGGTTTGTGTAACAATCGCAAGCACACTCCTATCACTAAATATAGTGCAAGGGTAAGTGACACCAGGAGCACAAGTTAATGCGATTAATGAGTAAATTCCAATTTGATATTAACCCTTTGTGGTGCACTGCACTTTAAAGTCGATATTTCAGCAAGAAAAGTTGTATACAGTTTAGCTAGGCCTAAAGGAGTATACAGATAAAATTTTGTAAAAATTGCACTTACTGTTTCAATACTGTGTGGAACACAGTGCCAGAACGGAGCTCTTAAAAGTGTGACTAAGCAAGCATTGCAGTGAAGCATGGAAATGAGTAGAAGCTTTTGTATAGTAATGAAAAAACACTGTATTATAGCTGTATACATGGTTTTCTGGCTATACACAATTTTCTTGAATATATATGGATAAATGAGATAAATTATATGTATATACACAAGTCCTGTATACAAAAATATTTACAAATTTTTCGATTTCATAGCTTCGTGAAATTTTCAAAGCATGTCACATCTTTTTGATAGAAGCATAAACCAACTTTGCAGGTTTTGAACAAAAAACTTGTTTTGTGTGTGTTCTGTTCCATGCAACAATATGTTTAGAACTCCAAGTAAAAAGAAAGAAAAAGAAACTCCTGCCATTTATGGAAAATTAATAATAAAAATTAAATGCAACTAATATTAACAATAAAGAAAAATAAGCTATAAGATATACATACACGAAAAATATCTCCACAATTATTGTAAATAAACGGGAATGAGACTAAAAAGCGATAGCAAAATAATTCGTGCAGCTTCCCTAAGTAAAGATGATTCAAGCTACTAATAAAATTCCTGCCTGAAAACTACTCACAAAAATTTCAAGATGCCCATATTAGGACGACTTTCATAGCCCAAACCACCCCTCAAGACTGCTTTGTTTGAATTCATTCCCCCAAAACAACGTAAATAGGAAACATATACAGTCAAAAGTCGTTAATCCGGACTCGTCGGGACTTCGGCGATTCCGGATTATTGATTTTTCCGGATTATAGATCATCAGTTTAAATCTGGTAAGATGGCAAGCAGAAATTACAAAATTAAAAATATGAAACCGTAATTTATGAAATAAAGAACAATTATGATCTAAAGGGTATCAAAATTTACAAAAAGAAAAAGCTTAATATTTATTTGTTTACTTTATTAAACATTTCTTTCAATGTAAGTTGCTTCGTTTCATGTGATAATACTTTCTCTTTAATTCTATTAAACAGACATAATTTCCTTTTTAGTTACAAAGTTCCGGTGTTCAAGTCCTATAATTGCTGTGTTGAGAATACCGACTAATTTGTTAATTGAAATGTTTTCGTTTTCAGTAACCTCTGGGTTACTTTCTTCACTATCGGAAGCGAATTATAATGACGAGAAACTTGATTTAAATCATATCGAGATGAAATACTACACTTAGTAAGGAATTATAAGCCCAATAAAATAAAAACATCTGCCCTGAAGATAAGGATAGTGCTGACAGATCAACTTCCAATCCGCAGCGTGAAATTGATAAACAGATTTCGGATTTCAAAACATACTTTCGCTTTGTAGATACAAATTACATATTAATAAATATATATCGGAAATTCTATTTGACATAATCGAAAGTTCAAGCTTACTTTTATGAAATTGCTGTAACAGTCTGCAAAAAATAATAAGCCGGATCCAATTCGAAGATTAAGAAACAACGCAATATGTAACATTAACTGAATTAGATAATTTTAGCTTAGCTTATACCTCCGTTACATATTACACGCGCATGCGCACAAACATATTCGCAGCCGTAAAGGCGCGGCGCGTGAATGCAACGTGCGCATGCGTGAATGCAACGCATGTGCTGAAAATTTGTAGCTTTGAGGTCCGGATTATAGATCATTCCAGGTTATGGGTGTCCGAATTAATGACTTTTGACTGTACAACAGATGTTTTCTCCTAAGACAGATATTCTGATGCGTAATAGCATGAGATCGCTAAAGGCGCAGTGTTCCCGTTAATAGAACACCCTGTTTTCTTCAATGATTATGCGCATGCATTTTGTATGAAAAATGTAAAGAAATATACAACAAATAATATAGAGTACAACAATCAAAATTATATGGAATTTTGTTTCAACAATTTTTTTTTATTTGCCAAAGTGGATTTTAATAACGCATCATAAATGAAAATATGGGTCTCTTTGTGATATGCTGCTCATTTAAAAGAGAAGTTGGGTTAATTATAAAGGTTTTTGCCATTCACTTTGGTTTAATGGTTTCAGGTTTTTGGGTTTATGTTCAGTAGTGTTCTTGGTGTTAAATTGTTTTAATTATCTTTACATAAAGTATCTATGTCACATTGATTTGCTTTAAATATTGTTTTAAGATATATTTATCTAAGGTGAAGGATGGGGTATCATAAAAAATGTTGTTCTAATCTCAAATAATCAGTAAAGTTTTAAGACCACTTGATTATGGCAGACATGCTAGCACTAGCATATTTAAATATCTAGTATTAGCATATTTAAATATCTAGTTAAAAATGCCCACCAGCGGCCGAGCTATAGAGCTGCTCAACACTGATAGTTCTATCTCGGTTCAATTCCTTGTGAACAGGCCTGTGTGGCAGATGCCTTTGTAGAAGCCTTTTTAAGGGAAAATGGCTCATATATTATGTTACTCACTTGTTGGAAAAACCATGAAGATGGCAGCCTGTTCACAAGGAATTGAACTGAGATAGAACTATCAGTGTTGAGCAGCTCTATAACTTGGCCGCTGGTGGGCATTTTTAACTAGATATTTAAATATGCTAATACTTGCTCCTTTTTGTTCATAATGGCTTCTGTTAGTTTACTTTCTTTTTGAAGTTGCTTCTCATTACATCTATTTTATCCTTTTATAATTTTGAACATATCTTTTTTATAAGTTATTCCCATTTATTAAATTTGGCAAATTTTGAGTGTGTTAGTGGTTACCAGTGATTGCATGTTGGCATGGTAAAAGAGGGAAGACTAGAAATAGAGGGAAATGGAAAGAAGAAAGCAAACTAAACCATCATTTAATTATTGGTTGATGAAATGGATGTCTAAAAATGTTTCATTAGTACCATGTCAACTAACATAACCATAAGAGTGAAATTTTAATAGTATTCATTATTAAATTTGTGCTACATGCATCAAATTATATTCCCAGTATATCTCCATACTCCAAAAATATATAACATTTATATATATATATATAAACATATATTACCAGAATGGTTTTGCTCCATAAGGCCAAACCAAATCAAACAGAAAATATGATATTAAAAAAAATTATTAATCATGTATGAAATTGAAATGATAAATTTAATTTAGGGCTTAACAGGAAAATGGGATTGTTACTTCTCATTAATCAAACTTTTGTGCCAAACTGTTAGAATTTTATGTCTGAAAATTTGTTTATACTAATCTGTATGTTTGGGAATAGCTGTATCTTTAATTTTTGTAACTGAAAATTGATTAGCTAAGGTTAATTTAAAGAAGAATTATGTAATGTTATCAAAATGAGTATTTATCATCCCAGTTTGATATGTCATAAAAATTACAGAAATGAGATTAATTTATTCTGCATACTGAATTATTAAAATTTCATTTCATTGTTAAAATGGATTATACAAGTAATTAACCTTCTGTCTTTCTCTTTCAGAAAGGAAAACTGGAAAATTAGCTCTAACATTCTTTTATCAGGTCCTCCTTGTTGTGGTAAAACAACTGTTGTAAAAGCTATTTGTAAATGCCTTAATCTTCATTTATATCAGGTAAGCTTGTTAATATATTTATAATTTTAAAGGGTGAGTGACTAGAAAATAATTCCTTAGTATGTCTTTTTAAGAAATAAATTTATCTTGTGATCTCATTACCTTCTCCTCTCGTTCCAAAATAATTATTTTTAATAAAAATTCAAAAATAATTAATCCAAAATAGTTCCAAAATAATTAATTTTATTTTAAGGTTGATACTCAAAATTAGTTGCTGAAATGTTAGCCTTTCTGTAGTAGTTAAAGGTATTTAATTTTATCATGGTACCATGCATTAAGTATATGGTTAAATCAAAATAGGAAACATACAGGGTGCATAGGAAAGTCCCTTTAACCTGAAAATTCTTGCGAACCATTACCTCACTTCCATAGCTGGAGAGAGCTATGGCTATGGAAGTGAGGTAATGGTATAGTAAAACGACTGTGCCCGACCTAATGCAAATGGCAGCAGCGCTCCTAGTGGTGAGATTTGTAAGCTAGGCATTGCAAATGAAAAATGAAAAGAAATAGAGCAAATTTTCAATTAGAAGGTTTTAGAGCATCAATTAATTAGTATGGAACGACGTTTGTTTCACACGTTCATAAAGCACTTAAGTGTCTTTGCAACAGTCTGTTTAATTTATTGAATAATAATTTAATACCATGACATATGGAAAATGGGCATTTATTTAAATGAAACTTTTTTAATATTAGGTACAGCTTATCCTTGCATAAAAACTAAATAGTAATACTGTAAAGCTGTGTAATGTATCTGAGTTCATGCAAATAAGTTTTCAGTCAATTAGTTCAGTCAGTCTTCAGTTAGATACCATTGAAATGAAACCATACTGGATGTAAGTTCAAAATGTTTATTAGTTTTACCATTGTATTACAATTTGTATTTAAGTTGGTGGTGTCATGAATTCATACAGCAGTAATTAATAATTTTATTCTTCTTTGCAGGTAAATTGTCATGAACTGATTGGAGAGACAGCAGCTACCACTGAAGCAAAAATTAGAAATAAACTTACAAGAGGTACCTTTCATCTTAAATTTTGTATTGTATTTTGTAATAAAATTGCTTATTAGGTTGTAGTTATTCATAATAAATTTTTGGTATATTTGATTATTGATTATATTTTATGTTGCAGCTTCAACGTACACTCCATGTGTTGTGCTTTTCAAAAATATCCATCTGATTGGGAAAGAAAAAGATCCTGGCAGCGAAGGTAAGAATATATTTTTTAATGTTTTCTAAGTACTGGGAAAATTTCAGTTGGTCGTTTATTCCTGAATTAAGCAATTACATAAATCATAACAACGGTGAAACCTCTGATTCATCTACTTCCATATTTTGCATTTTTTTCATGTTTCAGATTATGTCTAATTATGGTAAATTAGGTCTGAAATTTGCTCATTAAAATGAATTATGAATTTTCTTGTTTTTTGCTCTTTGGGCTAATAAAACTTTCTACTTCTCACATTTATAGAATAATTAAATTTTGTGTAATCCTAGACTTTCTAGTATAAATTAGACCAAAATTACTTTTAATAAATTTTTAGTGCTTTGAAAATAAATTGTGGTAGTGACCATGACTAAATAAAACCATAATACAGTATAAAGTCCGAAATCCGGACGTCCATTATCCGGAATGATCTAAAAGCTGGACCTTAAAGCCACTTTTTTTTTCTGTTTGTATGCTTTACGCATGCGCATTTTCCTTCCATAATAAGACATGAAGAGATTTTCACTAAAAAATTCTGATTCTTAATTTCACTTATGCACTAAGTAAAATATCCCGTTATGGAAAAACAATCATGTAAGCAGAAATTTATGAGACTTATAATTTGGCTCCGTAGCTGAGTATCTGTATGGTATACATCTCAAACCCAAACAGTTACCTATTTTACATCCCTGATGCCAACCTGGCAAGTCATTATTTATTTATTCTGCCGAGTACTTAATTATTAGTAGACCTGGCGAGTCATTATTACAATTACCGGTACAATTTATTAGTCGACCTGGCGAGTCATTATTTATTATTTTGCTTTCAGCACCGCATGTTTATCCGTACATGACAGCTTCAGTAATAACTCATGCAGCAATGCTTAAACTTCTTTTTTATATTAGGAATTGAATAACCAGAGTATGGCAACCTTTTATGCTAACATTACACTTGGCAATGATAATGGATTTTTAAATGCTCTAAGAAATGTTCACGAGGAAAAATTCAGCAAAAATTTCTTTTCATATGCTAAAAATAGATTTTGTTAATGAAATTCATAGGCCAAAGGATTACATTTAGTGCTATTTTAATTAAGAATAACTGATATGTTTATTCCCCTTAAACCCAGAAGTGGCGGCAGAATATGTCGGCACTGGACGCCAGAATTTAGGGAAGGCGAAATTTTTGGAATTTGAGTGTCAAAATGCACCGAGTGTCAAAATTAAGAAATGAGAAGTTTTTTATGATTTAGGGAAAGCACTGGGATCCAAAGTTTTGGCGCGGTGAAAATTTAGAACTTAGGAAGGTACTTTGTAGCAGCACCTTCCTAAGTTCTAAATTTAGAATTTAGGAATTAGCAGAATTTAGGACCCATAGAGACTGCATCAGGCAGTATCTAGCGTCAGCCCTAGATAAAGCCTTAAGTATATGTGGGAGTTTATTTATTCAGTACTTAGATTAGTTTGAAGCATGTGCAAGAATTAAATGTAGGTATATTAAATAACTAAATGAATACAATTCAGGCTTAATTCAGTATGCAATAGGAGCAAGACAAAATTTAGCGAAACAACTTGGTTTTCACCGCCAATCTTGTGATACACAGCCAATAATGTATAATGGATGCTATCAAGCTAGACTAAAATTATCTTTACTGATTCTGAAGGCATTTCAAGTTAATGTAGCAGGACTGCGCTGCTCCCTGAATCTTTCTAATTTGATCCAGCTTATTATTTTTAGCAGACTGTTATTATTACGGCAATTTTATTAAGAAACTAAGCTTGAACTTTCAATTATGTCGAAAAGAGTTTCCAATTCTGGAGTTCCCAAAGGATCTACAAAGGAAACCATGTTTCTGCCCAAAACAAAAAGGTGATCTGCAAAGCAAACCATGTAAAGGCGATGTCATTAAACAAACAGTGAAATTGCAAAATGGATAAAGGCATATCCGTCTCAAAATTTTACGAGGAGTATGGCATTGGAAAGTCAACTGTATATGACATAAGAAAAAAGAAAAAGGAACTTTTTGAATTTTTTGTGGAAGCAACTTAAACAACTTACATTAAAAGAAATGTTTAATAAAGTAAACAAATAAATATGAAGCTTTTATTTGTAAATTTTGATACCCTTTAGATCATCATTATTCTTTATTTCATAAATTACAATTTCATATTTTTAACTGTATAATTTCTGCATGCCATCTTACCAGATTTAAATTGATGATCTAATATTAGGAAAAATCCAAATCCGGAATCGCCTAAGTCCTGACGAGTCCAGATTTCGGACTTTGTACTGTATCTACTATATCATTTTCCAGTACAAAATCATTATTCTTTTATATGTATATATACATATATATATAACAGTTATATGTTGTGTGTTTTCTTTGTTGGGATGCAGAGATTGCGTAAGCACTTTTTGAATCTAATGGTAGAAAATAAAATTTTCAAAATATTGAATGGAAGTTGGAATTCCTGTTAAATAGCTCCAAACATATAATTGACATTTATATGATTTATTACATAGCATATGCTGGTAACAATGCTGTTTAGTTACATTTAAATTTAATAAAAGTGCTGTAGTGATTATGTGGGAAAAATTGATATGGTCATTGGCAGGCAGATATATACAAACAAGTCTTCTGAAAGTCACTTTGCATACTTAGCTGGAATCTTGCATAATGATTGATCAATTTTGTTGCCATGCACGATGTCAGTAACCAATCTGTGTATTTATATATGTTTTGCCCAAAGAGTGTGTGTGCAACAAACTCTGCATCTGCACATGTCACAGAGGGAGATGGTTGCCAATAGCAGGGATTTTTCATGTTCTTGGTAAAATTTGTTTTATCCACTGACAGCATTTATTTTTTGAATTATCTTATTAGAACTATGAAATAATAATTTTTTTAGCCTAACTGGAGTACTCCTAATTATTTTATAAGGGAGGGAAACTGTGATTATAGATCAATGAACTAAGAAAATGAATAAATACTTTTTTTTACAATAAATATAAACTATAATAAACACAAATACTTTACTTTGCACTAACATACTGATAATGCAAACACAACTGATAATAAACAATTTACATTATGTTCTTTGTAACTAATTTATATTATGTTATACATGACTGATAATAACATTACTGTTTTGTATCTCTAGAATTCTAAATCTCATCACTGTCAATTTAGAAAAAAGCATTCTTTAAAAAAATAAACAGTATTGCCATTTATTGGCAGATGATTATTTAAAAACTTTAATATTCACACACACACACACACACACATATATATTTATGTATGTGTGTTAAGAGATTACATTAATATGTATAAAGTTTATATATATATACACACACATATATAAACTTTAATATTCACACACATACATATATGTATATTATATCAGTAATCAGTATCTGTACTTGCATCTAAATGCTGTGCTGATTATATTGTAATGCATATCACTATAGTCACTTACTCAAAAATGGGGACTTCAGTATCATGGCACCCTCCCCTCATTTATGTTCATAACTTATGTTGTCATCATTGTGCAGAGAGAATTAGGAGATTTTAGCAAATTAGAGGACTTGACCTTTTTCTTGTAACAGTTATTACTGTGGTTATAAGACACAGCTTAAAGGAAAATGGTCTTGATGTATGCCTACTCTAAGTGATGGTATATTCCTAGAATGCTTCAAAATATGAAGAATGATTTCTAATGCATGCTTATTGCTTTCAAATCATCAAAAAATTATTAATCAAACCAGCATCAGTTGAGTACCTTCTGTAGTGAATACTTGAATAATAAATAGGAATTTAAAGATATGTACGGCACATTTGAAACCAAAATAGCAAACGCATTGAATTTCTTGATTCAGCATAAAAATTATCATTAGGTGATTACTTTTATTAGCATTTGAATTTATTGATTAATTAAAGGAATTCTATCTAAGTAAATATTTGCAAATTTAGCTTATAACATACATCTCCTCACCCAGTCTTTCGAATATCACATGAATTTTCATTGATAGTTTTAGAAAAGCTTGCCAAAGTCAGCTCTTAAAATTGTGTAAAAAAAAGTTTAAAAATAAATGTGATATTAAAAAGAAAAGCTACCTGAAGTATATTTTTACTTATTCATTTTTTAAACATTTTGAAATTTCATAATAAAATCAAATTTATTCAAATATGCATTTTTCATTTTTTATTAAGGAACTTAAGAAATATTTAATTTGTTTTTGTTATCCTTATTTGGTATTAAAATTATATTTTATAGTTTTACCATTATACTGATATCGTTTCTTTTCTTTTCTTTTTTTTTTTTTTTAACCCTTTAAGATTCAAGAGTCTTGACTTCTTTTGCTACATCATTGAAAGAAGTTAATGCTAATAGTGGCATTAATCCAATAGTAGTAATTGGTACAACAACAGAATCGAAAGTGAGCAATGATTTACTTTCTGCATTTTTGCATTCAGTGGAAATGAAGGTACGTTTAATAATTCTATTCATTTGATTACTAATTTTAAATGGCCTGTGTTTTATTTATATATTCAAGTATCGTGAACAAATCAGATACTTTTTTTTATTAATTTTGGGTAACTAAGAAATGTTGTATTAATTTTGTTAGCATTGTTAAAGTACTCTTAATGTTATATTTAAAAAGTTTTAATAGTTATGTAACTAATTGCATTCAAAATGAGCAAATTTACTTAAAAATTAATGATTTAATTATTTTGATAACATAAAATAAGTTTACTATTTATTATTTTTAATTAATATAGGTTTGAAAGTAAGGCTTAATTTTAAGTTAAATGACGATTCATAATTTTTTTTCTATAGGCACCCGATGAATGGGAGCGTGCAACTCTTCTACAGGAACTTTTAAGTGTCTGTGATGTTAGTAATGATGTATCAACATTATACTTAGCTCAAAGAACAGCTGTGAGTTTTATTTTCTTATTTTTATGTATATATGTGTTAAAAAGAAAATATGTTAAGCAACATTCTAACTGTAATTTACGATAGCTCCTTAACACTATTTTAATTTGTATATTTTCCCTTTCATACTAAAAAAAAGAGTATAGCCTTAAATCACTCTAAACTGCATCATTTCAAAAATTTCATTCTCATATGATTCTTGCATAGTTTAAAATGCAGGCTGTTACATAAATCTTCAGCCAGTAATTATTTTAAAAAGCTATTAATTAGCCAATAAACATCGAAAGCAAAACTTGCCCACTTTGAACTAAGATTTCATATATAACATATTACTTTTGCTTTCTGCTTTTATTATGCCAGCTAGAGCTGCTAGCACCTGATTCTTCAAATGTATTTCAAAATTATGAACTCTACTGATGTATTTCATCAAGAATAGGTGTTTATTGTGCCAGTTTATCTACATTGGCTTATTAAAATGTTTGGCTGATGAGAAATAAAAAGGAATATTTAAGTTGGCTACGGCTGCAACTACTTCTTCATGCTTCAAAATCATTTCTTCAGATTTCCAAATTGTTACATATACAAGGTCCATCGGGAAAATGTATACTTACGTTAGCGAAAGAAAGTTCTTCTGTCTGTTAATACTGAACTTAATTGTTTTTTTATTTTTGATGGACCTCCAGCATAACTGATTTCCTGTTCTACTTGGTATATTTCAAGGTCACCCAATACTATTTTGATTTATTATCATATGTCAAATATTACAGTCATGGAAGACCATGTGTTGAACAAGCAAAGATAATTCAACTTCAAAGCCAATGCACAGGTACTGTGTGCTAAAGTGTGTATATATTTTTCTGATAGACCCTGTGTGTATATATTTGTATGTTAGATTAAAAAAATTATGAAACTTTTAGTTGCTCATTTTAATTTGTCATGTCTTAAAAATGCTAAGATGTGAATATAAAGTATGTCATTTGAAAAATAATACCTTTCATGTCTCTTATGTACATTTCATATCTTTCATGTCTGTAATCAAGCTGCAGTATTAAAGCTGCTAACCAATCAGATTAAAGAAATAATTTACGGTTTATCTAGCACTTTGCTGATTGTGTAACCATTTTTCATACTTTGCTTGCTTCCACTTACACATGTTGCTTAGCCTCTGCTAGCTGTTGTCCATTTGTCTAAAAAAATTTAATCTGTATAAAATTGTGTGTTACATAGCTCACCCATAATGATGATGTGTGATTGAAAAAATATGTATCCTAAGAATTAGTTATCAAGGAATAAAATTAAGTGCAGAAATTAGAGCTATGCCTGTTACAAATGTCATCCTTTTAACTATGCAGTAAAGCCGCTCCAAGTTATTACAACACAAAGAACCATTTCTAATCCATAGCAGCTCTTCTCCATATCATCCCATTACATATATGTGTGTGTTCATTGAAACGTGTAGTTAATAAAAACAAGCATAATCATTACATAGATTACAAACATAATCATCATCTAAATATCAAACATAATCATTTAATAGAAGAGAATTTGAGAGTAATTCAAAGTAAAAATGATTGGCAGTATTTAATATAATTATAAAATTATGACATAAGTTTTTCTAAATATTTCTAGTAATGTTCAAGAAGTCAAATATTCACTACAGGAATTGATATAAATCAAGTGAAATATATAGTAGAATAGTTTTGAAATTCACGCAATGCATTCTTTGGCTGTGAATGTGAAGTGGAATATGTAAACTTTTGTTTAGTTGCCCATTTCTGTAATCAATTGCTATCATCCACAGAATAGTGAAACAAATGTTTGTCTAATATATTTATATGTATTTCCCACTGTATGAAGTTTTATTTTGACATAAGGCCTAAATTAATATCTTATTTCTCTTAATAAAAGAAATCTGATGAGGACTTTTACTTTATTGATGAAATGTGAAATACAAAATCGCTCAGTGCCCCCCGTAATTTATTACTCTCCCAAATATTTGCAGAAAATTTTGACTGACTATAGTGTAATACATGGGTTTCAGAAAATTTTCACAAGATGTTGATTTCCTTCAAAGAACTATGTAGTTAAAGAAACTGTCTAACTCTCAGCAGATAATTATGCTGTCTTTTTTTAAAAGCGTTTTTTGGAAGAAACAACTAAATAAAATTTTGATTTTTGGCTTTGGATCAGGCAGCCATTTAAGATTTAGGTAAAATAACCTTTTGGATGCAAGTGACAATAAAATATCAATAGCTGGTCCTTGTTTGCTGTCACTTATACTTCAAACCTTAGGTCTCCTGCTATAAAATTTCTGACAATTCAATGCACTAATCACTGCCATCACCTAAGGATTTTCAGTACACTTTATGTTCTTCCCTCCCAGTTTTAGGAGAAACTGCCTTCTGTATATTGACTACATTATTTATATTTATATGGTATACATATTTATCATATTATTATCTATTTTACTGTTACTTTAGATTTTAAAAAATGTTTATTGCTTGATGTTTTTTTTAATTGGTATAGGAAAGATCAAAGCCTTTATTATTTTTAATTAATGGTAATTGGTTCCTGTTTTACACTATTTCGATTTATGGAGTGTTGCACCAAAATGCTGTAATTTCATAAAATGAAAGAAACCTTTACTTACCTTTGTGTGTGATTTTTATCATTGGGACATCCATGACATGATTTTGATATTTGAGATGTGCAAACTTATAATATTTGCACAAAAATACTTAAAGTGAATTTTATTCATAATCATTAAATGGAGGTTAAATATATTCTTTTTTTTTCTTTTTTTTTTTTTTTTTCATATTATTATGTTCTTAAAGGTATTTCAGAATATTTATAAGGAATATCTTTTGCACAAATGGTACCAAAACTACTTTAATGCACATAGTACATTAATTTTCAGGTACAATTTAATCTTGGATCATGAACACCTTTAGATAATGAACAATTTTTTTTTCTAACAATATGTGTCTTGGATGACAAATGATATCTCAGATTACAAACAGATAAGCTGGCAATGAACAGTACTAAAAAATGCAAAGGAAATTCACGTGACCTGTGAGCTTTCTATAAAATGCCATTATAGCAGAAACATCTCCACATAAACATCTTAAGGCAACAGGGTGAGAATATCGGCCAGCAATTGCCAATTACTGTATGTTAACTTGGTTTATATCTGTGCACTTGCTTTCATTTAAATTTTATTGTGATTTGTGTTTTGTAAAATAAATTAGTAAATCAGATAACATATGGCCAAAGAAAAGCAATAATAATAGTTAAAAAAAAAAAAAAAAAAAAAAAAAAAAAAAAAGATCAGAAGTATGTTAGAGGTGAAGAAAGAAATCATGAATAAATACAGAAATACAGAAATGGTGTTTGTATTTCTGATCTTGTTGCTCTATTTGGTATGACAAAATCAAGGATTTGTAATCATTCTCAAAAATAAAGAATCACTCAAAGAAGTCAATGCTGTAGGAGTAACTTTCTTACTAAAGAAAGATGACATAGTATGGAAGAAGTGGAGATATTGCTACTCATTTGGATAAATGAGCAAATGTTAGCTGGTTTCAATATTCCTGAAGACATCATTTGTTTACGGTTTGTTTACGGTGAAGCTAGCTGTCACCTTCAAAGCTAGCTGTGAGAGGTTTGAGAATTTTGCAAAAAGAAGTAGTGTACATAGTTATGTTAGGCATGCAGGAGTTGTGAGTGTGAACCAAAAAGCTGCTAAAGAATTTGTGCAATATTTTAGTGGCTGTATAAAAGCTGAGAGATTGCTTGGCTTGTAAATGTGCAATAGTATGAAAACCAGTTTATTCTGGGGGGAAAAAGTGCTAAATAGAATATACATCACCCAGATAATGTAGCATTAACTAGATAAAAGTCAATTAACAATAGACTAGCTATGTTTGCTATGTGGAAACACAAGTAGAGACTTTAAGATCAAGATATATGTGAACCATTCTGACAATCTGAAGGTGATTAAGTACAGCAGTGTGTTAAAAAGCAAATGCCTATTATGTGGAGGGCTAACAGTATAAGGCTTGAGTAACCAAGCATTTTTTTATCGAGTAGATCATGAATCCTTTGTTCCAAGTATGAAGAAATATTTAAGAATAAAATATTTGCCATTGAAGTACCTTATTGTGCTAGATAATGAACCTGCTCACCATCTGTTGTGGAGAGAAAATTTAGCTTGGCAGATGAATTTGTGAAAAATCTTAGATTTTTTTCATCACTGTGAAGTTTTTGCCTCTTTACATGATTTCTGTAATACAGCCTATGGATCAGTAAGTTATTTCAGATTTCAAGAAATTTTACACCCAAACACTTTTTGAATATGTTTTGAGGTAACTTCTTTCTCAGTATCAGTGCTTTAATTTCTTTAATAAGGGACTTACAGGACCACATATATGATGTGGACAAAATTGTGTTTTAGGCAGAGACTTTGAATCTGGGATACTAAGGAATTTTTTATTGTCAATGATATTATATCATAGGCTTGAACGTTAAATAAAAATGTGGATAAGTTATTAAAAGATCACAAGAATGAACTTGTAGGAGGGCCTTTCAACCTTGAGCTCTCAATTTGTCTGGTAAAAAATGTATACAAATCTGCCCGTCTAGTAAAATACATAATAGTAAAATAGTTATCATATTTGACGGCATATAAGACGCACTTTTTTTCCTAAATTTGGTCTCAAAAAAGTTACCTGCGTCTTATATGTGAAGGACATAGTCTTATAAGTGAAGGTAATAGCATTCAATAATTGTTTATTTGGCTTTTACAAAACATGAGAACTAAAAGAAACCACACTATTGAAACAATTTCCCTTGTATGTGGCTGTCCAAATAAGGGTGTGTCTTATATGCTGTCAAATACGGTAGTTAAACAGTTTGAAAAATTGTAAAAAGTAACAAAATTTGATAGCATTTAAAGTTTTCAAAAATTCACTTTTGAAAATTTGAAAAATCACAAGTTGATCAGGTTATGCAAGTAAACTGTCAGATAATGATTCTAAGACAGCATTCAAAAGATATATGATTTTGGTTCTCAACTTCACAATAAAATGGAAGATTAAACAAAAGTGATGAAAGCTTAATCTTTGAAAAAATAGGTCAGAATTATTAAGAAGTTCTGGAAATCATTTTACTACGATATCTTATACTGTAGTTATTTTAGTGCGATACTGACGCATGCACTTTACATGATATTAAATAGTATATTGACTGTGCATTGAATATACAATGCAAATGAGGTGCAGTAAATAATGATTAATGATGATGTGTAATAAATAATGATCAGCGATGACATGTAATAAACAATACTAAAGCAATAATCAATTTTACGCCAGTTGCAAGTAGCAAAATGAATCAAATTACAAGTCACTGGTAGCTGAGTGGTAGAATTGCTGACTACAGGTAATATGAAGTAGGTTCAAAATCACAGCAAAAAGGCCTGGTTGCTGTACAGTTTTTGAGGTTTTCTACATGGCCAACGTAAATATGAGCAATTTGCTTTAAAAAGGTTTTTCATTTTAAGATACAATAACACGCTGAACAAATATTAATTTAGAAGTCAAACAAGAAAAATCAGCTATATATTTTAAAATTTTCAGTCTGTGAAAATTTGAAAATATAACGCTGATTTTTATTTGTTTGACTTCTGAATTAATAGGTGTTTCATTTCTTTTAAATTTTTCCTGCAATCATCAGACTTTTAAAGCTGTTTCTCCCATTAGTAAAAATGCAAATTTTCCCCCTCCTTGAATTTAGTTTGAAAACATTGAAAGGTATATTTTGTTTGGTTTTTTTCGTCTAATGTTACACCAGAATTTCATCCCTTTACCCATATGATGGCTTTAGGACTGCCTACTTCTCAAGATCCATTGTTTGACAAAACATTCGTGAATTCACTTTCAGATATATTATCTAATTCATTTTCAAAAATTGATGAAGCAAGAAAGTTTTCCATTACTTTGTTAACTAATGTTTTCCTTATACTTTTATGTTCTTTTAAGTCATATTTCTCTGTCAAATAACATCTTGTGTAAATTCTATTATTAATTTTAGATATATGGCTGTATAATTTTAAACAATATCTAGACCACTCTGTGTGTATTTACCTCCTAATAGAGGTATAGTGTAGCATCAAAAATTTAATTCAATGTCTACTTCATTTTTAGACTGTCACTCCTTATGTGCAAGTTAAAATAAACTTACAGCTTGCAGGGGTGAAAAAATATTTGCAAACTAGTGACAACAGTTTGCATCTAATAAAAACTAAACATACCAGTTTGTAATGTACATTACTATAATGTAAAAGACATGGCTATAAATACTTTGGATCAAAGGATAGACTGATGTTTTGAAAGTTGCAAATAATTTTGTGATTCAAAACTGTTGTCTGAAAAGAATTCTTAAAGCTGTATAACAAAATACAAAATACAAATAACAAACCGCAACAGGAATTTTGCTTTTGGTAATCAAAATCATTTTGTTTATTTTACTTAACATACAGGATGTAGAGACCTTAGGATTTTTAGAAGCCGGAGAGATGAAAAATTAGCAACTGCCTTCGCCCGGAATCGAACCACGGACCTCTGAAATATCGGCTCAGTTGCTGACCACTACACCATGAAGGCATTCTGGGAAGGTGGGAGAAATACCTTATATAATCCCCCTTTTAAAGGGCTACTGGGGTATTTTAGGGGACCCATTTGCCAAATCCTGGGTGTGGAGATTCATCATCCACAACTCTTTTAGTTTGGGTGCCACTGTAGAGACATTAGGTTAATTGGAAAAGCCAGAAAGATGAAATATTAGCATCTGCGTTTGCCAGAAATCGAACCACGGACCTCTGAAATACCGGCTCAGTGTGCTGACCACTACACCACGAAGACTTGCTAGAAAGGTGGGAGAAATACCTTATAAGGAGTATAGCTATTAACTTAATAGCTTTCTTTTTTAAAGGCACAGAATTCACAGTATTCTTTCTTCATTTAAACTTCGTGGAAAAGTTTTGCAGAATGAAGCACAAAGTTTTTCAATTTCTCAAATAATTTCTTCCTCTTTCTTCGTTTGGATCAACTTTGAAAAATTGGATAGTTCATGTGCCTTTTTAACAATTTGTTAACTTCTTGTGAGTTAAAAGGTACTTTATCATCTTCATTATCACTGTTTTCACTATCAACTGCTATTGTAAAATCATCTAAAACCTCATTTGTTATTTTTGAATTAATTCTTTGACTTCTCTTTCTTCCATATTTGAAAATCCTGTACTGCTGTTAACTTCATTTTCAGTTGCTGGAAATCCTTTGAAATTGTTGATAATTTCTGGCCTGCAAAAGTTAATTATTGATGAATAAATTGTGTATAAATGAATTTCTGGCACTGGGCAAATTAAGTAGCTACAATTAAGGTAACATGCACATGGCAAAACCTCATTTGGCAAATAAGTTTTGACAAAGGTTTACTCCAGACAAACAAACTTGTATACAAAATATTCTTTTATAAGCAGCCATTTGGAGCTCAGGAATAGATTTATCCATTTTACATTAATTTCTATCAAGAAAATTGCTTCAGTTTATGAACATTTTGGTTGATGAAAGCAACAATTTTCATCCATTTATTAAATAACTCTGAACTTTGTGAATGTAATATCCTGAAGTTGTGTATTTTTATTAATTAGAAACAGGTATTTTAATTTTTAAATTATATTACTGTTGTTTTTACTTTAAACTTACTTGCAGCTAACAAATTGAATTTATTAAAGAGAGATATTTTAAACTGTGTTCACATATAAAAAATATTTATATATGATTTACGTGCTTGTGCTGAATAAAATGTTGAAGTATGACATCTTTGCACAGTGTTGCCATATTGAGCCCTTTTGCAGTTTTTGATAAACCTGTGCTACTAAATTTATGTCTATACAATATTGCAAAATTTGTGCTACTTCATCATTTCCTTATGCTACATTTCGCTCCTTTAAATTTTTTTAAAATAATCATAAAATGTATAAAGGCTAAAATAAAATATCTGTTAAAATTGGCAATCCTGACTTTATGTATGTAGGATTTACTGTCACAAAATGTTACCGGCACAAGAACTTAAGTGGACTATTTGCTAGAAAAAATTTTAATATGGATAAGTTGCAAATATAAAAGTCATCTCGTATTTAAAATATGCATAAAATATTTATTTGCTTATGCACAATTTTGTATTATAATAATTATTATTTTGCATAAAAAAAGCTTGTATTATTTTTAGGGATTTGTATTAGGAGATTTATCCAGCCTTGTTAAGCAGGCAATCAGAAATGCTTATAGCAGAATTCGAAAATTAATGTAAGTTACATTTTATCTGTTTATGTAATAAACCTTTTCCCTCAGTTGAATATATAACAGTATTATTTTTTTTTAGCATTGAAAAAAATATAGATATTAGAAAAGAAGAAGATTTGGTTCTTGCTGCTGTTCCAGTTGCGCAAAAGGATTTATTGCATGCTCTTGAAAAATTACAAGCTGAATTTGCTGATGCAATTGGTGCTCCAAAAGTATGTATTTTATTTTATTATGAAAGGTCTTTCAGTCATGACATAGAATTGTTTTAGTAACAAAGAGAAGACAGTTTTGATAATTCAGCTATCTTAAGCTTGAATTGAGAATAAAACTCTTAAAAACTTTTGTGGAAGTGTTTCACAGTAAAATGTGTCTATCACATACATAGTGTGTTCACGAAGAGTGCCTACATAGTGTGGCATACATAGTGTCACATACATAGTGTGTTCACAAAGAGTTATTTCCTTAAATGTTAATCCTAAGCATGTATCCTTATCAGTTTTCTTTAATGGAAGTAACTGATGAACAAACTTTAATGAACTGTGGAAGTAGCTTCAATCAATGTGAACTTTTAAGTAAACTGGTCTGTGTAGGGAAAATCACACTTAATATTTCAAACCAAGTATTGCCGATTGCAAAAATAAAAGCTCTATATTTATTTGATTATTTTAAAGTAATGCACCTGGATTCATTAACAAGTGTCACCTATTAAGTTTGAACTTTCAAGAAATAAGCAGTAACTAACAATAGCTAGCAACTCCAAAAAATGTTAAATGAGTTTATACTATGAAAATTGGTTTTCTGCATAAGCTATTTTAAAACATTATGAAAGTATAACATTGCAGGTTGGAAGAATCTTGCAAACAGTTTCATTTTTTATGTTAACTGTAGGAAGTAAAAAAGCCTTGTTTTTATTCATTATGTTTTAAGTAGTTGAAAACAAAAAATCTGTGTTCAAAATTTACATATTTGTTTTGTAAAGAAATCTGCGAAAAATAAATGCATCTGTTTGAAATGTCATGTTGAAAGAATTTAATCCAAATAGAAAGATTTGCTCTGGAAAACTTTGTTCTCACTGTTTGCAAAATGTAAGAATTATTTTAGTACCACTTAAATATTGGTGGTGTGTCTAATATTTTAATATTTCAATTTATTATTATGAAAATATATTGTTATGTCTAAATTATGCAGAAAAGAAATTCATTTAAACTTGCTGTTGATCAACCATAAACTTACTATAATTCATAAAGTTATTTTTTGAGGTGAAATAAAAGTATTACCATATTTTTGAATTTTAAGATACACCATTTTCCCCCTACAAATGTCACTAAAAATAAGCGCTTCAAAATCTATGGCATTTTTGAGTGCCAGATTTTTCTAACGGGAAAATATTCTGAAGCAATAAAATTTTCCAAATTACTAATTTAAATAAAACTACTCTTGCTATTAATAAATTGAAATACTAAAATTTTATTAAAAAATAATATTAAAATGTTATTTAAATTTTCATTTGGACTTTTCGAAGTATATTTCAGTATTTTGTTTTGCTTATTCTATTTTCTTATAATTAAAGTTCTGTTGGTTGCACCTCATTGTTTACAATGGGTGCATTTTAGAATTTTAAGAAAAATGTACTTCTTGGAAAGTTAGAATTGCCTAATATCTTAAATCACAAATTGTATTAATTTTCTTCCAAATGTTTCCAATTAGATTCCAAATGTACAGTTTGATGATGTTGGTGGATTAGCATATGTCAAACAAGAAATTTTAGATACCATTCAGTTACCTTTAGAGCATCCTGAGATTCTAGCATCTGGTCTCAGAAGATCAGGTATGACAGGGAATAATCATTAATATGCTAAGCATAAGTTTTAATGTCTCATGCAATTTATTTGCACCATAAATTACATCAAATTGATATAAATTTCTCTTTTCATGTTAAGTCCTTTGTCTGTAAATTTTTTAATTTATGATAAGTGATATTTTATTTATTGATAAATGAATTAATACTTGTGTGCTTATGTTCCCATTGTTATTTGTTATGTCTAAGATTAATCTAGAAGGAAGAAGAAGAAAATGATTTGTATCAAATAAATGCTTTTATGTTTTTCAGTATTCTTTATTTTGCTGTTAATTTATGTAAAATGTCGGACAAAATGCAAAACTGACCAATGCAGAAGCTTATCCAATGTTTTCTTTCAAGTATATTTATCACATTCATTAGTAAATTTTTATTGTCATGCTTCCTGCCTTGATTGCAGTGAATTTGGTGCAGTTAAATATATACATATAATATAATTGAATATATACATATAAATATAACATACTTTCACACACACACACACACTCTTATACTGTATGTGTCTTTGTGTAAGCAGATTATTGTAATAGTCCTCCTAATAAGTGCCTAATTTGCCTAATAAGGTGCAAAAGGACAAATGTTTCTGTTAGTTTTTCTTTTTCTGTTTGATTGAGATATCACTGAAATTTGTGCTTGTGTATGTGGATATGACAATGGTGGGAAAAGGTGTATTATTTTCAGATGGTTCCAGCCATTATTATTGCTTCTGTAACAAATAAGCAATTTTATAACATATTATAAAAACATCACTTTGTTAATGCATGATAAACTATGAAATAAATCACTTACACACTTTATCTTCGAATTTTCAAACTTTTGACATTACAATCTGTTCTTTTTGTAATTTTGATTATTTAAATGTTACAATATATTACACATATGTAAGTTACTTAAAATCATATTTTCTAAATTGCTAATATTACACTGACAAAATGAGGAGTAATTTTTGGAAATGTAACTGACATATTGAGTATTTGTTATTATGAGAACAATATACTGCAGAGATAAGGGAGAATTTCTGATTACATCACGTATCATTCTTTCATGTTTAGAAACTTATTTTTGCATGCATTAATAATACTTTTTAATTTAAAAATTTGTTATTAAATTTTTTTCTGCTGATGCTGAATTTGTAAATAATATTTTGCAAGCAAATGATAACTTCTCGAGTTGTTTATTGTTAGAACTGTAGATGTTAGCAAGAACTGATTACAAAATTGTCATTGGAAAAGATATTCAGGAAATACTCTTTTTTGAAACAGGTTATATGTATAAAACAAAACTAGAAATAAGTATTTTATGAACTTCACGTTTTTCAGTTTCTTTAAAGTTTTATGGTTTTTGATTGCTTTCAATTAGTATAATGATGGTACAAAGTTCAAGATTTAAATAATCAAATATTCAGTCTTTGAACAATATTCATTTAAAGCACACAGTTGTAACAATTTTCATTCATGACAAGCAACTGCATTTCTTAAGATTCGTGGTAAGATTTGTTTATACTTAATATAAATTTATAAGTTCATGATATTTTTGTTGAACACCACATTTGTGCAGAATTAAAGTAATTAGTTATTGCTACAAAATGAATAAATTGTTTATTATGGTTAATTGTCTACGGAATGTGATAATTTTATGAGGAAGAATTTTCTGTGCTCTTTTGGTTTTCTTATTATACATGTAATAATTAAAAGTTTATGTATTTTCCATGTAAATTTTGTTCTGTAATTTGTTCAATTTTTGTCGCAATAATTTTTTTGTTGTTTTATGTATAGGTGTATTACTTTATGGACCACCAGGTTCTGGGAAAACATTACTTGCTAAAGCAGTTGCTACTGAGTGCTCCTTGAATTTCTTAAGGTATATATAGTGTGTATGTATGTGGCATGTGTTGCAACTTTTGAATTAAACAAAAAATTGATTATGTAATAATTCTGAGCATATAAGTAGGTTATCTGTTATGAGTAAAAATCAATGATTAAACATTAAAACTAAATATTTGTTAAATTATAAAAATTTTATTTGTGATGTTATACTGGAAAAGAAATGTTTTCTGTAACATAGTTACCAGTTCTCGTGGTTTCACCAAGAGATTACTGATATGGCTTTGTCTTTTCACCCATCAAGGTACAGAATGGCTTATATGAGCATATAAGAAATTTGGTGAAACAGAGTGCAAAACATGCATCTCATATCAAATTTATTCAGATTGATAGTGAAATGAAGGGAGTACTGGTTAGATATGAAGTGGAGATTTTGGGGGGCTAAATTAATTTGTGTGTTGTATTATATTTAAAATTTGTAACCAGTTATTAACTAATTAATTTTATTATTTGGAATTAGTTATTAATTTTTCTTGGAGCATGTTTAAAAGTACTCTGTTAAATAAAAGCTTCTCTTTCCAAAACAGAATTTTGTCAGTTTAAAAATTGAAATTAAATAATAATGTACTTTATATATGAAATACATTATATTTAGTTCAATAAACGAATAAGCATTTATGAAGTGAATTTAAATCAATCTGGTTTTCTGTTGAAATCACATTGCAAAGCATGAAAACCTCCTAGTTTCTCCTGGATTTTCAAATTTCAAGGTTGGTAGTTATGTTATAATGAAAAGAGTTCTTATTATGTTTGCTAATTATTGCAAGCATTAAATAATTCATTTTTACTTATTTACTGAGTTGAAAAGTATCAGCCTTTGAGAACCTTAATTATTTGAAGACTGAAAATACTGTTTTGAATTTTTAACTTTGTGTTGCTTACCACAAAAATTTAGGCCATATTTTCTACACTTTAGTGTTAAGTAATAAGTTTATCTGCATGCTCTTTGAGTACATTGATATTCTCCTTCCTTAAGATTGCATATTATGCAAATGAGTAACTATTATGCTTCATACTGTGAATTTTCTTCTATCAAACATACTATAATAAATTGTTTTAACAAGAGCAAGAAGTAAATACTAGGCAAGCTAATATTATTAGAAGCTATAAGAAGAGCAAATGCATGCAGAATTTTTTACATGGAATTTAGGAGCTAATTCATCTCTAAAGGTAACAATTTGTAAGAGTGTGACTTAATATAGTCTAAATGGATGTTTTACAAATTATAGTAATTATACAATACAGCAATGAAGAGCCCCGTTTTCTTCTAAAGAAAATCTTTTTGTCCTCTACACTTGATTTCTAAAGTAGTTATTATTGCTTCATAGTGCTGTGCATAATACAATAGGTTTTAACGTATTTTGAAATTTTCATAATCATGGAGTACCTGTGAAAGGTATGAGATTTAGCCAGTTTGAGACAAGAGACTGTGTTTATTAACAGCTGAAAGGCCAAGTGTCCCTGCTCACAATCACCTGTCACCTGTGTAGTATTTGATTATAGGTAACATTTATTATCACAGAATGAAATATAACTTTCTTTGTTAACTACTTTGTTTTTAAAAGAAAGCTTTTGGAATTTTTACAAAAATACCTGCTTTTTTTAACTAATTTAAGTAAAAAAAAAAAAAAAAAATCAGGTATTAAAGTTAATTTGTAAAGTAATTTTGTAAAATTAAAGTTAATTAAGTTATATTTAATAGAAATTGTATTTTGAAATTATTACAGTGTGAAAGGCCCTGAGCTCATCAACATGTATGTTGGGCAAAGTGAAGAAAATGTTAGAGCAGGTAATTGCTTTCCATAAATACTGTAAATGTTGATTTTGTAAATGGTAATTAAATGTTTGAACAATGCTTTTTTAACTTGAACTTTATTTGCAGTATTCAATCAAGCTCGAAGTGCCGTTCCATGTATTATATTTTTTGATGAATTAGATTCTCTTGCTCCAAACAGAGGCCGAAGTGGTGATTCTGGAGGAGTTATGGATAGGTACGTCTATCTTTGAAAGCTTTTAATATTTATAGTTAATCTGTAGCATCAGCATCCAAAGGGACAAAACTCTAAACCATGAAAATTGCATTTAGAATGAAATTAACGCTGATTTTTGTTGTTTGTCTTCTGAAAATATACCTACAGTGTCTCAAAAAAGTGATGGGACACTTGTGCTTTACAAAAGGAAACTGCAATAAAATAAATTTAAAAAACATGTAAAATTTTTTGTGGGTGTGTTTCATACTTAAATTTAGTAACAATTATTACATAACATACATTTTCTCAAAATATTAAAATATTAATTTAATAAAAATACAATTGTTTAGAACGGAACAGAAAATGGCTCACTTAAGTGATGGGACACTACGTACTATGCAACAAAAATCGTCTGAAGTAAACAATAAAAATATCTTTTGGGGTATTTATTTTTACTCAAAAGCAATTGCCAATAATTTATAAAATCGTCTGCAGTATTTCTCTCCAGTTTGTTTTGGAATTTTTGTGTTTTTTAGCTCTGTGCAGCCATGAATGCTAAACGAAAAGAAACTTTGCCTGGGAATTCGAAAATTAGTTATTAATTTGCATATTGAACGTAGAAAATCTATTAGAGAAACTACTGAAACAGTTAACTTCAGTCATTCAACAGTTTTCAATATCATTAAACGATATAAAAAGAATCATATGATTCAGGATAAAAGAAGACCTGGCCGACCATCAAAGCTATCCAATGGAATAAAGCGAATTATCGTTCGGAAATATTAAAAAAAAACTCCAAGAATGAGTGCTCCTATAGTTGCTGTCTGATTTACAAGCATTATATGGAGTAATTGTTAATCCTGAGACTATTAGAAGAGTAATTCGATCTGCTGGATATCACGGTAGAGCAGCCAGGAAAAAATTCTTCGTTGAGTGAAAAGAATAGAAAACTCAGACTGGCTTTCGCAAAATCCAACATAAATAAGGAATTCTGATTACTGGAATGAAGTTATATTTGCTGATGAGAGTAAATTTAATATATTTGGTTCTGACAGTAGAATCTTGGTGTGGAGAAAACCCAGGGAAGAATTTCGCAAACAGAACTTGGTGCCAACAGTAAAACATGGTGGAGGAGGAGTTATGGTATGGAGGTGTATGTCGTCCGCTGGAGTTGGTAATCTTGTTTTTACTGACAGTATAATGGATCAGTACAAGTATATTGACATTTTGAATCAAAATTTGAAATCTTCAGCACGAAAATTGAACCTTCATAACGATTTTAAATTCTACCAGGACAATGACCCCAAGCACAGTGCTTTGAACGTTAGACTCTGGCTGCTGTATAACTGTTCTGAAATAATAAAAACACCCCCACAATCTCCACAATTAAATCCCATATAGAATATTTGGCAAGAATTGGAATCAAGAATTCGCAAACACACCATTTCTTCAAAACAACAATTAAAATCGGTGCTTCAAGAAGAATGGGGTAAAATCACTCCAGAAATCACAAAAAAAAATTAGTCGAATCCATCCCAAGAAATTAAATCATGTTTTAAAAGTATAGGAAATCCAACAAATATTAAAACCTTTTAAAAAGTAAAATTTTTCGATAAATATTTGATGGAAAAGTAAGTGTCCCATCACTTAAGTGAGCCATTTTCTGCTCCGTTCTAAACAATTGTCTTTTTATTAAATTAATATTTTGAGAAAATGTATGTTATGTAATAATTGTTACTAAATTTAAGTATGAAACACACCCACAAAAAATTTTACATGTTTTTTAGATTTATTTTATTGCAGTTTCCTTTTGTAAAGCACAAGTGTCCCATCACTTTTTTGAGACACTGTATATGTAATAAAATAACACATTTTCGTAGAAACTCATCCATGTAACATCTGTGCATGGTACACCAGAGGACTGTCTGTCTAATGATGCAATCGTCTTTTATTTTGGCATAATCTGTTACATATAAAATACCAGAAGGCTTAAAATCTCATGTTTACTGCTATTGAATAAACTCTTAAAGGAATTTATAGCCCTCACTCCTCCTTACTAATATTAGATGCATAAATATCAAATTTTACTTATTCATTAAATATCTAGCTTTTCTAAACTTGCATAAGAACATTTTCAATCATATATCTATGATGTTAACATGAATAAAATTTTAACATGACTTTTATTTTGATGATCTTCAGGAAAATGGAAGATTTAGTGTGCTTTCTTGGAAAAAATTACTAAACTTAGCCAAAAAAATTCTTATACATGTTTTTTTTTTTTTTTTTTTTTTTTCTTTTTTTGTTTCGTATTTTCTTTAATTATATGTATGAATCTTAAATGTTTTGGTACCTCTTTTCTTCATTTTTAAAATTTATATATTATAAAAATGCTTCTTATGTACTGTGCTCATAATCCTCATTTTTTAAATATGAAATATAAGATCAAGAATTATAAACAAAAAATTTGACACTGGTTGTCACCAAATGCCCGTGTGGTTCACACCTCAAGACCACCTTTTTTCCCAAGAATGTTCTGTTTCTGGTTGACTAGTTGCCAAATGGTGCATTACAAGCTGCTATGGGTTGCAATGTAATAAAACTATGCTGTTAACAATTGCATTATGCGTTGCAGCAAAAGAAGATGGTGTTTGTTAATTGAAAAGGTTTACTGTACCTACACAACATTGCTAGACCTCCATGACAAGGGCAACCAAGAATTTCTGTGACTTGGCTGAGAAGTGATGTGTTTGCCAGACCTAGCACCCAGGACAGCCATCTTTGCAGAAAATCCAATAATAAGACAGACCTGTGGCATGCACTTATGAACTTCTTTGCATCTGAGTATTATTGCATTATTGCAGGATTATTGTAAAGTGTGCTGATAGAGATTACTTTGATGCGTAATAGTGAAATCCAGCTGCGATATGTCTGTCTTTTTCTAGTAATCACAAATGACAAGGTTTTTGTTAGTTATATAGTTTTCAGTCTGTTTCAAACTCATCATAATTATTTTCTTCAATAACATTGAAGCAAGTATCATTATATTGTAAAAGCAATCTGATTTGTTCAGAATTCAGAATCAAATCTTTGAAATTTATTTGTTCAAAAGCATTGCTACAGAATTTGCCATTAGAAAAGACAAATACTTTACCTTAAAGGTCTCATATCTATATTATTGGCCTTACTATTTCCTACATTTAAAATATGATCATTTTTGTTTTATCTTAGTGAAATTAGAAATTTAAGGTGATTTTCAGTGCTGTAGTAAACTAAATTTAGACCTATTACTGATGGCAGGATGAATGCTTAGAAGAGAAAATATCCCTTAATTAAAGGTTTTTGTAATGCATTTATAATTGAATTAAATTATTCAATTCTATCTTCTGTTGCTTTCAAGAAAAAATTTGAATTTCTGAACTAATTCCTATGTTGTTAGTATTTAGGAGGAAGAAATACTTGATTTGTAAATAAATTAGAAAACTAAAAATTTGGTAAATATGTTAGAATCTTAAAAAAATATAAAGTATTAGATGGCAGAAAGCCTTAGTTGTGATTCTTTAAAATATAAGTATGATAATTAATAAAACGGCATAATAATTATAGATATTAGAACCAATAAGAGACCAGTAATATGTTACTGTTTTAACAAATACATGAGGATAAATTAATTTTATGGCTGATCTGATGCTCAAAATGAAAGTATGGGGTTGATTGAATGAATAAATGTCCTTTTAATGCTAAAACAACTATCAGAGTATGCATTGGAATTAAAAAAAGAACTGATTGAAATGGAATTACATTAATTCTAGCTTTCATTCGTAGGGTTGTGTCACAACTTTTAGCTGAGTTGGATGGCCTTAATAAGAAATCTGAAGTCTTTGTAATTGGGGCAACAAACAGGCCTGATTTGCTTGATCCTGCCCTCTTAAGGCCTGGTCGGTAAGTACTCATGTAACATTTCTGTAATGTTTTAATATAAATTTTTTGAAAAAATTGTTTTCAATGCATTTAAATCCTTTTTATTCAGAAGTATCTTTACTGATTTGTTATGCTTCTCTGTAATGAAAATAATTGTTATTGAACACTGAGATTTATTTATTGAGGAGATTTTGTTATTTGTGAATCTTCTCTAAAGTAATGGCATTGGTTTTTCTTGTGATCTTGTGAGGTTATTTTTTATATTACTGATTACTTGTTTTTAGTCAAAGTTAAATTTTTAAAAAAATCCACCAATTACTAAGCATGTTATTATTCATCAGGTAGCAGAAATGTACATATTGATGTTTTCTCTGTAATCCAAAAGTGATTTAGCTAAACTAGGCAATCCAGTTTACGTAGTCTTCTTATTAAAGTTCAGAAGTTTCAAATGTAAATTCTGAAGGAATTGACATGCTCAGTGAAATATGACAATCATTTATTAGGAGGAAAAATATGGATTGTCACAGAAGCATTACATACAAGGAAGTTCAAATCTAGAGTTCATATATATAATAAATAGGGCTGCAGGCAGATATCTCAGAAGAGAAAATAAGTTTTAATCTTGCATATAAGTTAAAAAATAAATAACCCACCTCAGTAATTAATACTTAATTATGTCAAATGAAATGAGATAATGCCAAATGAAAACTTTTAAGTTTTCATTCCATTCTGAGCTTTAGTTTCATCCAAGGTTTTACTTAAAAGTTTTCATTTGACATTATCTGAATGAAATTAAAAACATCAAATAGAAAATGTTTTAATTGAGAAATGTTTTTTCATGATTACTTTTATCGTTACACACATACTCAACTACCAGTAACAGGTTTATTTTCTATGGAATCTGTTGTCATACCATATGTCATTTGTCTCTTCTTGCATAGCTTGCTTTCATTTTTCCTTATTGGCATTCAAGCAAGTTTCATGATATGATTTTGAGTCATGTATTTCATGTAAATTAAGAAATATTGTATCTATTAAACAATGCACCTTTGCTTAATTTTGGTAGATTATCTTAGTCTGATTTTGAGAATTATTATCTTTCATCTTAGTCTCATCATTTTGGAGCTTATCCTCGGAACAAGGATGGTTTGGTATTCATTTATTAAGAATCACATCTCACCTGATTATTACAATGCCGTTATTCCTTTCCAGTAAATGAAAACCTTTTATTTTTTTTTCATATCCAATCATGATCTGTTTAACAAACGTATCCTCTAATTATTGTTTTCTCAGCATTGGCACAGGCACACATGCCACAGTGCCAGAACTAATGATGATTTCTTTTCATGCCATTGAGTAACACTGAGTTCACATAAGGGGTAGTATACTCACTTCTCATGACTTACACACACATAAAGGGATCGCATAAGGGGTTCACATAAGGGGAACTTCTCACGACTGAAGTTCTGTTGTTGATGACTTGTTTTGCAGGAGTTTTCTGTGATCACACTCTCCTCACATTACAGTAAATCCCCTCAATCAAGTTAGGTAATGTGACTTTATATTACATAAAACATAAGTTCCATTAGTTGAATATTAACATAACATAGGTAGTGCAACTTCCAGTTACATAAAATTTTTTGTAACTTAAATTTTTCAAAGCTAAATATGTTAATTCTTTAAATATAACATCATAAGAAACTGCAATATTTATTATATAGATACATACATACTGTAAATATCACTGTACTGTAAATATCAGTACTGTAAATATTTTTAAATTTTTTAATTCCTCATTAATTGACCATTACCAGAAATATTACATTCATGGAAACTCAGAGCCAAAGGTGCCACATAGTGAAAATATTTATAGAAAGCTAAGTGCTTCATGTGGAAGAGTATTAAACATTGCATCTTTGTTTAAAAAAAAAATAAATAAAAATAACAACAAATTCAGTAAGTGACGTATAAAACAGATTTGATGTATGTGTTAAAAAATATGCATACAAACAAGAGGAAGATGTAGAGAAATAATATTTCTGGGGGAGAACTGATAGTGAGTACCATTCTACTTGAAGCTTATTTCAAGTGTTTTAAGGTCAAAACTCTTGCAAAACTTTGTAAAAAGAAGCCTATGATTGTAAAATTATTTTTGCATAGATTCTTAAACAACAATCATTGTTATCAAAAACTGTTTTAATAGCTGTTGACTATTTCTTGAATAACATCACTAATCTCATGACTGAATTTCATCAAAATTCTAGCATCATCTTTTATGTGAATTTCTTTGTATATTCTGGCCAAAATCATCAGTTTTTTTTAATTCAAAACATTAGAGGTGCTAGGCGAAACTATAATTATATCAAGAATAACAACATGAATTAATTGATAGTAATAATAATCTATCACCACTGACATATGAACAAATCACAATCGAATTTTTAGTCTAAATACGCTAAAATACACTTGCCTTGAATATAATGCTTTTTCATTGGACATTTAAACGAGAAGGAAATGGTAGATAGTATAAAGTCTCCTACTGTGCCCCAAATTCAAAATATTCCTGATTTTTCTCACCACATCATGCACTGTTATTTTCTTTAATCCTATCTCAAATGTCCTAATAGTTAGTTGCTCAGTTTCCTTGCACCATCTATACTAGCAGTTCCCAAACTTTACTTAGCTGTAGCCTGCTAAAAATGGAATCAAAATAAGGAAGCTAAAAATTACATTCTCAACATAAATCTTTCATGTTAAATCTTGTAACTTTTCTAGCAAACAATGTTTGATCTTTTTGCTGCCACTAATCTCAAAATGATTGTAAAATAAGATAGGCAGATGATGAAACTGAGCAGGATGCCAGTCTGTTGTTTTGCATTTTAATGGCCCTTCCTGGAACTGCATGTTTCAGGAATTGTGTTGTAAATGCATGTACAAGATATATCTTGGTGATTCTCAACTTTTTTAGAATTCCTGTAATCCATGTGAAGTTTCCCAAAATTTATCTCCTTATAAATAGAAGTTGGCTTGTCAATTTAGAATCACTTCATCAGTGAAATTAAACAATGATAACCCTTTTTCTGTGTGCTTGTCTTCTTTGTGACATTTAGCTGCATAAATAGTAAATAATGTTTCACAAATTATTCGTTCTTTGTATACTTTTGAATCTCTAACTACTCTGGTGACTTTTCAGTAGAAAAATGTTACATCAGTGACTCTAAGAAAATTACTTATTGGAACTGTGTGCAGAAGTGGCGGCATTTTTGATGGACTGTAATGCTCTACTGGTAACCATTTTAAATTATGAAGATTGTATATGCAAACTGGCATATTTGGCTGAAATTTTTTTCAAAATGTACAAAAGGAATCTAACATTGCAAGGGGAAAATGGTATAAATTTTATGCAAGTGCCAAAGTATGTGTTTTTTGGTAAGAAATTTAATGGTGTGCATGGGAAAGGAATATATCGATATCTTACCTCTTGTGAAAATCTTCCCCAAAATAAATTTCAAGGAAAAAATACAGAAAAACCTTCAGGTGAAGTTCTGAAAGTTTAGTTGAACATTATTTTCTGACTGATCACGAGAAGGTGCTTTGATGACTTTAAATTGAAACTAAATGTGTTCAACATGAGGAGAAAAAAAAAAAAAAAAAAAAAAAAACTGGCTTATATACATCAGAGTAAGAGGTCTTTACAGATTTGAGATATCACATTTAATCAAAAATTGCATTTCAAAGTCTATCAGAATTTTGGCTGTGTTTATAATAATTAATTTGTGTGTCAAATCTTGTCTGGAAAAGCAAAGTGTGTTATTGCCTTTCTCAGTTGCATATTTTTGTGAAAGGGAATTCTCCACATATGCAGATGAACCACTTAAAAATCATAAACAGGCTATCATTATCAACAATTGAACCTAAAATAAGAAAAATATACAAAAATGCACTCAAAGGTGTTCCATATTCAGCCACCTAGCTGGTATAGTTGGTGACTAATGCTTTCAGTTGTGTTGATGGATCTTGGTTCTAATCCAGGAGAAAGCATGGAGTTTGTAAGCATATAGGGTCTGTATGGCAAAAGGGCACTCAAAAAAACAGCGAGCCGAAAGTCCTCTTGAGAGATTGGTGGTAGGGAAAGACGATGCAAGATCATTGGACTGTCCTCCAGGATGCTCTCCTTCAAAATTGAGGCAGAAGCTTAACAGTTAGCTAAGTTCAGCATCACCTGTGGTCCTACAGATATGCTGGCCTAGTTTCTACCTATATCTGTATGTTATTTAGTGTTATGTGTTAAGTTGTATTTAGTATTGCACTACACTGTATTCCAGTAGCGTTATGTGCAGCAAAATTAAACTGGAATCGTCATCTTTGATGAGTAATAAAATTTTGAATAAGAGGTAATGGAACTGGAGGAAAAGAGTTTTTCTATGGGTCTTTTTATTGTCGCTGTCAGCAATAATGGAAAATCTATTGTAATGCAAATGATTTGATTTATTGAGCTTTGAAGGAACTTTTGTGTATAGCCAGATTTTCACCATATCATGTGTACTACTGATAATTCAAAATAAGCTGTTTTTTTTTTTTTTTTTTTTTAAAGTTTTTAAAACATAGTTTCATTGCATTGACATTGCACGACTGTTCAGATACCTCTTAATATTCTCTTATTAGTTCTTCCTTCTTCTAATGTTAATAGTGTGTTAAGTGTATACTCCTAAACGTTATTACCTATTGCAAGATTTAGGATAGGCCAAGGAGATTCTGCCATAAAAATTGTTCCTGAAAAGGTTCCATGAGTCGAAAAGTTTGGGAACCTCTGATCTACACTGTAGAATAAGTCTTACTACATTCTAGTCTTACTAATATTGTCTACATTGTAGAATAAGTCATCTTTGGTTTTACTTAAAAACTTTCCACTGCATGGCTTGCCAATGACTAAATTGGTAAAGCCTTTAATTCTTAGCAACTAAATGTACTGCCTGCATAAGTACTTGTATTTTCCTCCATGTGTAATTTGAATTCAAGCTAATTTTCCATCAAAACATTTTTTTGGGCACATCTCCTTCCTGAGTACTGCCCGGATTCCTTATCCTAATAAATAATCTAACTAGCTTTCTTATGTGGTATTTTTATTTCATCATAATTCATATTCTGGTATTTCATTTATTAAAAACGTTGAACTCTTTTTTTTTTTTTTTTTTTTAGATTTGATCGTTTGCTGTATGTGGGCATTCCTGAAGATAAGAGGTCAAAAATGAGTATATTGAAAGCCTTAACACGAAAGTAAGTATTTTTTTAAATATAATTAAATCCTTTCTGCAGAATGTTTTGATTTTATATTTGCATATTTTAAAATTTCATTTTTTAAAAATAGAATACCATTGGCTAAAGATGTGAGTCTTGAAAAAGTCATTGAAAAATGCCCAAAATATCTCTCAGGAGCTGACTTTTATTCACTATGTTCAAATGCTGTAATAAAGAGAGTTGAGAAAAATGTTGAACAGCTTGAGAAAGGTGTGTTGATTTCTGTATATTAAATTTGAAATAGAATATTTCACATTAAAATTAGTACTAATGTTTTATCTTAATAAGTCAAGTGCAGTAATTTTATTCAGGTGGGTACTAATTTTTTTCCCTTGTGTATTCTACTCTACAGGGAAGACAGAAACAAAATATTCCAAAAACTGTATCTTCAATGAATAAAAAATGTACTTTTTCTTCACATTTGCCTTTCACAAAGTATGAACATTTCCATAAGGTGTATAAAAGCTATGTTGTTGGCAAATGCCATTGACAATCACGTCATCTGTCCACAAGCCATCCAGCAGGTCAAACAATTTCATTTAAATCCACAGCTGCCTTTTTTGCAGCATCAAAGATTAGAAACAAATAATCCGTTAACAGCAGATTGAAACTTGGCCTGAAAAGCTGTTTACATATCATGCTAGAGAAAATATAGATAATATTTTAGTGTCTAAAAAGTCATTAGTTTTGTGAACTTTTGTAAAATGATGATAGCATTGACTTTAGAAAGATATGCAAGTACATTATTTTACAATAGTGAAATAAAAATGGTTTGATTGTAAAAAAAAAAAAAAAAAAAAAAAAAAAAAAAAAAAAAAATATTCTGCTTCCATATCAGCTGGATGGCCTTAAAATAAGTTAGCCTATTCATAGCACTTTGTAACTTTATCTAAGTGCAGCAGACCTTGAACTATGAATTAATTAGGTTATAAATAATAATTAGGAAAGAAAAAATACTAGCTCCCAGAGTCGCGGATAGATAAATAAATAACTGGAAATGTTCCGAAAGAAATATCATTGCAACTTTCAAATGTATATTACAGAAACTGCCCTGAAATTTGCCTAAATTTTATTTGTTACACCAATACATATACCAGAAAAATGTCATTTCATTGTAGAGCACTAGGGCTGCCCTTTCAAATTACTACATTAAAAACACTAATGGAATAGGTGTATCTTTTATAATGGTTTAATTTCAAACTAAATTAAGTTTTATTACTTTAACTATATATACTTCTTAAAGATTCAGTATAAAAGTAATTCTTGTACCGATTAGAACATTTTCCTTATACTTTTTAATAAAAATATATCTGATAGATCAGATATTTCAATCAAACAAATACTTCTAAATCTCGATAAAAACTAATTATAGAAAATAAAATGATACTGCAAATAACAATAATATAAATTGTAGGGAAATGAAAAGACAAGGTAAGACAGCAAGGGAAGGAAAGTATTTAATCATTTAAGTAAAACAGCAAGAAATAGGCACAAAACATTTAGCAGGGTTTGTACTTAAAAGTCCTTAGGTTTTTTTGAGAAAGAATTTTGGTTCTTAAAGGTCCTTAATTGTGGCCAAAATTGGAAAAAGGTCCTTAATTTTATCCATCTGATATTTCTGTATGTTTATGACTGCTGTTCTGAGTGTTAGTTAACATTTTTTAGGAATATTTTGTGATTCTTGACAAATATGTAATTAAGAGATTATCATTTGAATTCGTTTCTACTTTTTAATAGAAACGTCGCAATTTTTTCTGAATTTTTTGGCACAAATCTCAGTGCCAGATTTACGTATAAGCTGAACAGGCTACAGCTTAGGGTCCCCACTATCTTGGCCCCCCTCCCCCGAAAAATTGTAGCATATCCCATATAAAAAATTTGACTCATATCCCTCATAAGAGCCTTGTATCTCAAATAGCTTAGGATCTTGTCAAATCTAAATCCAGTCCTGACCTTGCCTCTATTGAAACATTAACATTTTGAAATTATTTCTTTTTTAAGAATGAAGAGTTCATAAAATATTATATCAAAATGACTTTTCCTTTTGATTTCTTTACAATTTATTTTATTATGTGGTGCTACATTTAGCAACTTATCGTTTTGCTGGTTCCAAGATCAATTTTCATATTAAATTTTTAATTCCGAGATTGGCAAATTTTTCTGTTTCTTTTTTACAAACATAATAAAATTGATAAATATCATTAATATGATGATAACCTATAGGAATTATAATTAAAAAGTAGCATTAAAATCAGATATTTTTATTTTCTCATGTCAGATTTTAAAATGATATGCCAAGAATATTTTGACAGTTAAATTTTTTTATCATGCATTTAATTAAAATTTTGTTAATTAATTTATGTATTTTTGTGTGTATATATGTAATAGGATGACTTGGAGAAAGCTGCAATGAACTAACTGGCTATGGTTCTTTGCTTTATAATAATTTCAAGAGTAATTTGTAATAATTTTAGGAGTCCTTACTGTGTAGTTTGAAAGATACTCAAAGACAGACGTAGCCATAAATTCCACACATAATTTTATTCCTTGAAGACTAATTTTTAGCATATTCTTTTTCATTAAACACTTTCAGCACACCCCACAATTTTATGCAGATTATATTTTTAGAACAATGGACAATAGCTAAGCGAGTGAAGTAGCATCTTAATGGAAAGAGAGCTAGAAACAAAAAGTGTGCAGTTATTCAATATGGCAACCTGTATCTTAAGATAGAAAGGTTTCAGTTCTCGAAATTTTGAGTTCATGTTCGGAATTAGTTGAGTCAAAGTTTCTGTTAGATTCCGCATCAGTTACCTCATCAGCATTGTTATTAAGTCATATATATGGATTGATCTAGAAATGATGCAGTCAAGACAGATTTTGATGCATAGCAGATGCTACGAGGAGGCATATAAAAATCTAAGGAAGAAATATAAAGAGGTGTTGCGAATTAAGTTAGTTAAGTTGTATATATGTATGTATGAAAAAAAAAAAGTACTTGCAATATTCATGGTGTAGATCTTAGAAAGGTTGAATCCATAATGAAGAGCAAGAATTATGATGATGTAGAATTCTAAAATGACAATCCACAATGAATAAAAACAAATTCAGAAGTACTGATGTAGGTACACTGAGAGGTAGAAACACTGATGGCATAGATACTTGATGCTGAGAACATCGATCCATATTGAAAAGGAAGAATTGTGATAGCTAAGAAGAAGGCTAATCCATAATGAATAGGAAACTTGACAGTTGAGGCAGATTAAATTCCATTTTTATTTAAATTCACGTTGGTGGCCACAGTTTCCTTGGCACTCTAATCGTTCCAGAACATTTACATTTTTGAATACTGCTTTGATAGGAAGAGAGTGAGGGGAATAGTGTCCAAGCAGTACAGAAATTCAAACTAAAAGTGCACATTTATCCAATATTGCAGCTCACTGAAGAGGAAGGTGTTTTTGTTTAGGCAGAAAGGATTCAGTTCTCAAAATTTTGAGTTCAAGTTCCTAATTAGCTACATCTTCAAGAGTGACACAGGTTTATCTAGAAATGATGCAGTCCAGAATTGTTATTAATTTTTTTAGGATAAAAAGAAAATAATTAAATTAAAAAAGAGGAATTAAGAGGCTATTATTAAATTTAATAAAGCTGATTGACGTATTTTTTGTCTTTACATATATATGCCAGCAACAAAAATGTTAACTTGGGTGTAATATGTATATTTAATTCCCATCTGCTGAATATTTGTCTAAGGGTGCAGATTTCCAGAGGAAAAAATATTGATTAATATTTTAATTGCTATTGAAATTTTGGCTTGCATTCTCATCTCATAAAAGATCATTAAGTGATGGGAGATATCACAAGGAATTCAAGGCCATTACCTTGAATGGGCATTTTTATAGCATACTTAGCATTGCATTTATATAAATCTGATTCTAAATTGAAGGCTGTTTGTATAAATATTTAATATAATAAAAAAATTGCTGTAGGTCATTTGCAGCTTTATTATTAGCAGTGACAAATCTATAAATGTTATTTTTTAGATAATTTGTAGCTTTAGTTCCTATTTTTTTATTTATTTTACAGGTGAAACCACTATAGAAGAACTAAGTAGTGCAATACGCACTGAAGATTTTTTAAGTGCCTTAGAAAACCTTGTGCCATCGGTGACTCCTGAACAGTATGAAGAATATTTGCAGATCAAATCAAGAATGGAAAATAAATCTTCAGATTATTCTAAGTCACAGACTGAAAATGCAATACCTGCATCTTAGCTTTAGGTAGTTCAGAAATAAATTCAGTAAAAGGATTTAAGAACCCAGCAAATCAAGACAGGGAAGATGCACATGAAAGTTCTCTATCTTCTGAACAAATTAAATATTGCAAAATTTCAAAATGAATCCTTAGGCGATCCTTAAATGATATAAACAATTAGTCAATTCAAAGATCAGAAATGATTTTTCAGTGCCTCTTTATGAAATTTTATTCTTTATATGAAAGTAATCAAAAAATGAAAATGCAAGGAGTTTAATATTGTATGGAAAATATAAGTATGTTTATAATCAGATTTAATTAAATGCGGGACTTAAACGGTTCTTACCATTTGTAGCAAATCCAGGCAAATTGATAATAAGGTATATGAAATTTGTTAATTAATAAAACATAAGTAAAGCATGCATGACCCATTGATAAACATATGTAATTTGTCGTCCATCATGTTAATTTAATCAGTAGTAAGGTGCTGAAGCAGTTACTAAATTTCATCAATTTTTTGTTCCATTAAAATTTATTAATTATCAGGGTGATTTTTTAATTGAAATAAGTATACTAAAAAGAAAAGAAAGTGGGACATATGAAAATTATTTTAATAAAATTTCTAATTTTTTTTAATTTGTAATCATAATAAAACTTGAAAACTGCTTTAAAATCATTTTATTTTCCTCTGGCATAATTTCATATATATAAATAATATGAAATTGCTTTTTATTAATTTTGAAACTGAAATTGCTTTTGTGAAAAGTATCAATAAATTTCATTTTAAAGTATTTGATAATTAAAAGAATTAATAATTTTAAGTCTTCATGGAACAGTTTTATTAAAATTGATTGCTTTCTAGTTTTTTTTGGGGGGGGGTATCTCCTTAATATAAGTTGTTATTCACTTGATTTTCATTTGTTAGCAAATTTTGAATACAAAAATTATATTTTATTGTAGCTTAATAATATTTCCTGTCACATTAACATTCCTGTTAAAACTTCTTAAAAATGTTAGTCATTTGCTGCTATATGAATGTGATAATTATGTACATTATTTTTTTTTAAATCATAAATTGAATACATATTTACAGCATAAAAGATATTAAAGAACACTTTTTTTATTTGAAAATGTTTATTTCAATGTAATTAGCAAATAAATATTTTTCAGGCCTTTTTTAGCTTGCTTTGTATATGTGTATAAATATTTCTAAAAAATATGCCACTTTTTTTCACATTTTTGTTTAATGTTCATTTTTTAGAAATTATTATTTGATTTATACATAATTTGTTTAGGCATAAATAAATTTTATAATAAAACTGATTTATTATTAGTAGTGTGTTGTTTTTGTTTCATTTATTATTAGTATTTATTATTAGTAGTGAGTTGTTCTTGTGTGTTGTCATCAAAGAACACTTTAATGATGAGTTTTGACTCTTTTCATGACATTAGTTTTTTCGAGTGTTTAGAGTTCAACGCCATAACATAACAATATGCTCTAACAAAATTACTTCAAACTATTAAAAAATATATTCCACAATATAGCTAATTGTCGTTTTAAAAGTTAGTGTTGTATATTAACATTTTAAATCTAATTATCAGAAAGTGAATCTATTACAGTCAAAAGTCGTTAATTCGGACACCCATAATTCGGAATGATCTATAATCGGGACATCAAAACTAAAAACTTTCTGCGCATGCGCCACGTTGACACATGCGCAGAGGCGTTCACGCGTGCGCGTAAGACCTTTTACGACTGCGCATATGAGTGTGCGCAAGTGCAGAATACGTTTTCGCGTGCGCATTTTATGTATAATGGACGTATAAAGCTAAAATTATCTATCTAATTATCTATTTCAGTTAATGTTGATGATTGCGTTGTTCCTTAATTTTCGAATTGCATCCGGCTTATTATTTTTTTGCAGACTGTAAGAGCAATTTTATAAAAGTAAGCTTAAACTTTCGATTATATCAAGTAGAATTTCCGATATATATTTGTTAATATGTAAAGGATCTAAAGCGAAAGTATGTTTTGAAATCCGAAATCTGTTTATCAATTTCACGTTGCTCGGCGGCGGGCGCCTAATGAATTGGAAGTTGATTGTCAGCACTATCCTTATCTTCAGCGCAGATGTGTTTTATTTTATTTGGCTTATAATTCCTTACCAAATGTAGTATTTCATCTCGATATGCTCCGTCTTCGATATGATTTAAAACAAGTTCCTCGTCATTATAATTCGCTTCCAATAGCGAAGAAAAGTGACAGAGGTTATTGAAAACAAAAAAATTTCGATTGATAAATTAGTCGGTGTTCTTGACACTGCAATTATAGGACTTGAACGGCGGAACTTTGTAACTGAACAAGAAATTATGTCTGTGTAATAGAATTAAATAGAAAGTATTATCACATGAAACGAAGCAAAACTTAAACAACTTACATTGAAAGAAATGTTTAATAAAGTAAACAAATAAATATTAAGCTTTTTCTTTTTGCAAATTTTGATACCCTTTAGATCATAATTGTTCTTTATTTCATAAATTACGGTTTCACATTTTTAATTTTAGAATTTCTGCATGCCATCTTACGAGATTTAAACTGATGATCTATAATCTGGAAAAATCGATAATCCGGAATCGCCGAAGTCCCGACGAGTCCGGATTAACGACTTTTGACTGTATATGGGGTATATCAAAAACAGCTGATGTTTTTAATGTGAATAGATGTTATATGTGTTACATGCCATTATTATAGTGATAGTCATTGGAATCTGTGTAGTCAGGAATTTAGTTGAGATGAAAGCATTGTTCCATTCAACACTGCATTTCTTCTGTAGAATTATTAACATTAATAAAACAAGATTACCGATGTTGGGTCCACAGGATCTGCACAAACTGTATCAGTGTCCATTACTGCTCATTATCTAGGTGAGAGTTTGGTATGGAATTTCTATGCTGTAGTGTTTGACATCATTCAGCTATATTTCTTTGAGCAAGTGAAACAGTAATTGTTATTGCTGATAAATACATGATCATGCTCAAAATTTATCTTTAAGATGTCAAAGAAAGAACCATCAGTAAAAGCTATCTTGATTAAAACAATAGTTCATTATTTTATTTTCTGAAACATGGTTTCAAGATATGTATTTAGTAGATGCAGAAAATGCACCAAGGAGGTTACTCATTTCTAATTCATTTGCACTTTCATCCAAATTTTCTCATTATGAAAAATATAGCTCACCTCACAAAGATCATATTCTTTCATCGCTCTATAATAATTACTTAATCACAAACTGGAATAATAGATATGTTTTCTGCAAGGAATAAAACTCGAAATTTTACTCATTTTGAAGAATACAGCTCACCTCGCAAAGGTAATATTCTTTCATCGCTCTATACTATTACTTGATCACAAACTTGAATAATAGATATCATGTTTTCTGCAAGGAATAAAACTTGTATGTTTTGTGACATGCAGCTGTGAAAGGTAAAAATCTTTTCATCATACAATTTCTAAATTAATTTATTAAAAAATGCTATCATCATCTACACCTTACATTATTTTTTTCGCAATTTCATATTCATCAAGGAAAAAAATCAAATACATTGCAACATTTTGTTCTCATTAAATGACATAATAATTATAGTAAACGATTAGGCAATTTCCGATGTTTTTGTACAAGTACCAATGGAACTTTGACATTTCGATAAGCTTAAAAACTCGCAAAGTATTAAAATAAATTTAGATTTCAAAGTCGGAAAATTTTTTTTTTAAATTATCACATCTGAAGTTTCATGTCACTCACAAATGATGTTAAATTATGCGAAAGCACAGTCATTTTATGATTAACTAAATTATCAACAGAAAAAATGCATTTAAAATTCAGCATTTTTGAATATGTAAGTATTTTCATAATTAAACGGTTTCAATGCTTTCATAAAAACAAAACACTCAATTTTGTATCTTATTTTATTAGTTTTAAATCAATATACACAGAATTTTTTCATACCATTAAAAATTATATGAAGTGTTAATAAAGATATTAAAAATTTAGATTATTTTGTTCTTTTATTTATAATATTTTTAGCAGGAAATAAATATTAATTCAAAGAACACTGCAGTGGAATTTCTCACATGTTCTATGAAACTTTTATCAGTGAATTTAACCGAATTATCATCATGACTACATCAACATCGTACCATAACACAAAATTTTCGATGTTTGTTTACATTGCAGGGTCAGATGTTAATCTGCCATAATTCAACGTAAAACAGGATAAGAAGCCAAATATAGTAACCCATCTCGAACCCCGTGACGTCACGATACACTTTTCTGTACACTGCAGACCAAGGATTGGACCAAGGACCTCTTTGCTACAGACGGACTACTCCAAGCATGCGCAGTTGTTGCCACTCGGAACAGTGAGTGTGCAAATTACCGTTTTCAGAATTTGTAATTAATATATCGGTTGATTAGAGCCATACAAAGATAAGAATGGTTGAAATGGGTTATCACGAATTTTTGGAATCTGAGGGTACTTCTCTCGAAACTCAACTTCCCACCGTTCCAGAAGAGATTTTGTTACAAATATAGATTGCATTAAAAATAACACATAAATACACATTAATTTATAAACGAATACATTATTATGAATTCCTATGAATGGAACTCTTTACTATGTCTGTAACTTTATTATCTGATTGTAAGGAAAGTTTTCCGCACAGAAATGATCTTAGTAAAGCTTAAAAAAATATGTAGGTAACCCTTGTGTAACACAGTAGATAGGTTCCTAGAAAATGCCGTGTTGTATGAAACCCAGAGCCGGTATAAAAAGGGGACTTACGTTTTGAAAACTTATTAAAAACAATTATTTTTTAATTATACATAAACAACTTAATTTTTATTAAACATGTATTATGTAATATTTGTTCTTTTGTGTTGTACATACACAAAACAAAAAATATTACATATTTTATTTTAACGCAACTTTAGTTTAATAAATTTCTTCCTTGTCATTGCTCAGTATAATCAATAGAGAACGTTTTTTTGGTGGAAGCAGATCGCTTTCACTTTCAGAATTTCTTTCTTCATTTAAAGGTCTGGCATTTTCTTCCCTCTTTAAAAAATCTGTAACTTTGCTTTGCTTACTAGTTCTTACCTGGTCATTTTGAATTTCTTGATATAGAACTAGGCAGTTTTGCAGCTCCCTTTTGAATTTTTGGCTTATTTCAGCGGAAGGATCTGCGTTCAAGAAAAATAACTCGAGATTTTCAGCTAAGCATAGGCCTTCTTTTAATTTTTTTTAATGTTAAATTATTTATAAAATTAATCTTTGTTAAATTATTATTATCTTTATCAGTGGTAGTGTCCTCAGAAGCAATTTGATTTACAGCTTCGGATGCCATTTCTATCAAATATTCATCAATTTCTTGAACGTCCTCAATAGCCAAGTTCACAAAACCTTCACCTCCGATTGATTTAGAAAGTTCTAATATGCCACCAATTTCATTTGTTGAAGATTTACGCGTGTTTTCTATTTCAACTGAAGAGGGACATATCTTCTAACATGCATTTAACGTTGATGCTTTCATTTCTTTCAGCGACAAAGTAACAATGTCGATTCAGTT